AAAAAAAAAAAGAAGGGTAGAAAATGGGTTATGAATCAGGAGACATTTTTTGCATGATAAAAGCAATTCCAGCCGAGTTTCAGGAGAACTTACTTCCAGGTGCAGTACTTACTTCTACGTTTCAAACCTTCTCCCCATGATCCCTTCTATTTCAGTACTCCAGATCTACAACCCCCTCACGTGCCTTCAGCTTAGCCAACATCCGGTTGACACTGGTCAGGTCCTTGCCGGGGTCGTCAGACCGCAGCTGGTCCTCCATGGCGCTGATCCACTTGTTGAGGTCAGCATGGGTCTGTGAGCGCAGATCAGAGCTCCTGGCCGCAGAGAGATGCTTGGCCTTCTCCTGCGTGGTGGCCTGAAGCTCATCCCAGAGCCGGTGCAAGGCTTCCAGCCTCTGGGACACCACGGCCACAAACTGGGGCTTCTCCTCCATCAGCTGTTTCCCTTCCTGTGCGGAGGAGGAGGAGGAGGAGGAGGAGAGCTCACCCTGAGGCCAGGTGGCTGCAGGGGGCTAGTGGAGAGGAGGTCACAGAGGCAAAGAATCTGCCTAGTATCACGGTGAGGCTCAATTGCAAGACCTCGTGCCTCAGTTATTTGTAGAATGTGGGACAGGGAGCTGGTGTTTGGGGCAAATGACTGAGGGACACTGCAGGATGAGCACTGCAGAGAAGGGCCAGCAGCACTAAAATATTGGGTGGCAGGGGATGATCTGAGATGTAGCCATGTATAACCACCATGGAGACCCCCAGTGCGTTCCACCCTCGTGATCATTTCCCAGAGGTTATGCACTAACTCTTAGTGGTGTCTTTTACTGAGTTTGTCTTAATTGGCTTATACCTATGTAAACGTCCATGGTGGGGAGGGTGGCGTACAGTATGTGATATGACTTGGGCTTAGGCATATAGGCCCAAGTGTTAACAATATCATGCACATGCCTAGTAACTGCCAAGCATTATTCTAAGTGCCATGATCTTTTAAATGTCCAGTGCTCACAATTCCATCTTGTAGGCACTATTATTATTCTTACTATATAGATGAAGAGAATGAGGCACAGGGAGGTTGAGCCATTAGTCTGGCTTGGAGTCTGCCCCCTTAGCCCTATGAAACATGTCCCGGGATGAACCCGGGGTTGCTTCATCCTGCATACCCACAGCAGGGAGGAGCAAAGCACTTGGTTGCCAGCACTAACTCCAGCTCTGGGCAAGCTGGTTATATAGAAGGGTCCTTAGGTCCCCCTCTTTGAGGGGTATGGATGACGACCCCTTCCAGTTGGTGACCCCATCCAAACAGCAAGGGTCACCAGTGCCCTGGACCACTCTGCTCATCTCAAGTAGTCCCCGTCCCTTGCAGGACAGAGTTCTGGTGAGAATAATGGAAGGCAATCGGAGACAGCTGCTGTCCTGACACTAGACCCACAAACTCTGGGCATCCTCGGGCTGCTGAACTGCCTGAGCTTCAGGTGACCCCAACAGGCACCGATTCTGACCAAGCATAACCAGCCCAGAATGCTGGAGGTTTAACAACTACTACTATTTAGAGAAGTCTTTCACTTCCAAGAGATCATTGTCCTATGAGCTGAGTGCGCTTGTCCCCTTCAGAGAAGCATAATTTGAGCTACGCTCCCACGCTGCACCCTCCCCCTTGCTCTTGACTTGCCGCATCGATGTTCTCCAGCCACCCTTGGTGCGAGGCCAGCTCTGCCACAAATGCCTGATGCTTCAACCATATGTTGTGAAGGTTTCGCGCCTCATCGTAGGAGACGTCCTGAGATGTCAGCAGCTTGTCATTGATCCAGAGCGTGAGCTGCGGGCAGGAGGAGGGGGCACTGTCATCCCCGAGTGTTTCTCCTTTGGCCAGGGGCTCAGACCGGATCGGCTGCCCACATCTGGCTGCAGGAGGAGGCCAGGCCAAGGAAGTGTGAGCACAGAGCAGAGCTGCTCTCCAACATGGAGCCCGAACCTCAGCACTGGCAACCCAAGTCCAGGATAAGATATGGCCCCGCGTGTCTTCCCTATCAGAGTGTGTGCTGTGTGACCCTAGGGATAGGTTTCTTCTCTCCATAGGACTGAGGGCAGAGCCAGCAAATTGCAGGAACTCAACAGGTGTTGAGTGAATGGAGAATAAACCCCTGGCAGGTGAGAAAACATTAGCCAGCACAGAAATTGTTATCTGAGGAAGAAGTCCAGGGCAAGCACTAGAGTTAACAGTGAGGGAAGAACTGTGGGGGTGGCCTACATTCCCAAGACCTCCCAGCAGCTTGAGTCAGTCTGTGCTAGGGCAAGTGCACATGAAACGGAACTTCTTGAACTGAAAGGGAGAGGATGTGAAGGGGAGAGAGCAGTGAGACGTCAGCGGAAGCTTTGTCCCACATGGAAGTTCCACTAACAGAGGGGCCAGGAGTGCAGTTAAGGCCTTGTACAGCTTGCCCCAGGCTGAGCAAGGAGCAAGCTCTCCAATCAGGATGCTTGTTAAACTGAGTTTTGTTTTGTTTTGCTTTGTTTTCTCATTCTGACCCATCTGGTCCTGAATTTGGCCCAGCAGTCTGCATTTAACCTGAGCCAGCACTGTGCTTCATAATTTGCAAGGTCAGTGTAAAGTGAAAATGTTCAAACTTGGTAACAATTTCAAGATACAACAGCAGAGCAAGTTCAGGGCTTTCTAAACATGGGATCTGTGGATGCACAGGTTACATGTCTTTGAAGCTGGCTGCTTTTGCCCAGGTACTAGATGATTCTTAGGCCACCTCTTGACAAACCAAAAGATAACTTTCCAGATTATAAAAAAGGGGTGGGGGTGGGGTGAGGGTGGAGGAAAAACTGTGAGACTGAAGATTCTAGAGGGTGACCTAAGCCATCCAGTTCTCAGCTTCCACTCAAGCAATCCCAGACCTTTGAGTCAAAGAGAATCCTCATGGCCATTTTACAACCCCGGGGCGCTTTTGTGAAGTGCTCTTGTGAAGTGCCCTGCCTTGCTGCAGCCTCACCTCCTGGCAGTTCTGGAGAAAGTCCTGGAGCTCCAGGTTGTCTCTCAGAAGAACTGAGCCTTCCTGGGCCCTCTCTTCATTCCTCCTGTACCTAGAACAGAAGCCAGCAGCACAGTCAAGACCATGCCGGACCTGGTCCCCCAGCAGCATGACCAGCCCTACCCAGTTCCTGCTGTGACCCAGGGGGTGGACAGTACCTGTCCTCAATCAGCTGCACCTTCTCCTTGATCTTGTCTGAATAGAGGTTTCCCTCGGCGACCAGCTTGTTTCCGGAGTCCACAGGACTCAAGATCTTTTCCCTATTGTTCTCCATGGACACCAAGAACTCCTCAAACTTCCGGATCCCAGCCTCTGCAGCTTCTAAGGAGTCTGGGGGCTCCAAGTGGGCCAGAGTGTACTCCTGTAGGAGCAAGTTTCCAGATAAGGATGAAGACAAGCCGAGAGGCAGTGAGGGCTTGCCAGGCAGAGCACCGGGTACAGCCACCAGACACTTGTCCCTCTAACTAGTGGCTAGAGAGAGCCCAAAAGCAGCATAATTTGGCCCCTGAACTCTCTAGCACATTCATAGACCTACCAGTGCATCGCTGTGCACCCCCTACCTCCCTCCCCTCACCCCGACCTCTGGTCCTGATTGTCTCTCCCCACCTGGTTGCTGAGGATGGCTTCAGCCTGCTTGGCATCTTTTTGGAATTCCTGGAAACCGAGGCACTGGGCAAGGGAGCGGCCACGGCTCTCCCACATCCGACGCAGGGCATCCCAGCCGGAATCCAGGCCTTCCAGTCGCTGCCCCAGGAGCAGGTACTCGGGGTCTGTCTGGCCGTGGATCACCTTCTCCCCAGATGCTTTGACATGTTGGTAGCTGTCCTGGTGCCCGTCAATCTCATCCTTGATGGCTGCATGTTGCTGCAGAAGCTGCTCTGCCTCTGGGAGGGACTCAGGCGTGTCCTCTGAGGCTACAGCCTTCTGGGCCATGGACAGCCAGGCCTGGAAGTCATCCAGGTCCTGCAGGAAGGCCTGCAGCTGGCTGGCCTCACCCAGAGAGGCCTCCTGGCCCTTCAGGGCTGCCTGTAGGCCCTGCCACAGCTCTTCCACATACGCCTGCCGCCGGCCAATGTCCTCCTTGAGCTCAGGGTGGGACTGCATCAGCCGCTGTGACTCCCGCTCCAGGGCACCCACACGGGCTTGGATGGCAGCCACATCGCGTTCTAACCCAGACAGCTTCCGCTGGATGGCGATGACGCCCGCCAGGTCCTTGCCCAGGTCCTTTGTGGACTCTACCACCTTCGTCTTGTCCGTGATCCACTTGCTAGTCTCCTCACAGTCCACACAGTAGTTGTGCACCCGCAGAGCCGAGTCCACTGCCTCCCGCCGGTCTGACACCATGGCCTGGAATGCCTGCCACCTGCCACGGGCACAGGGAGACACTTTCTTCCTAACTCTTCCCAGATTTCCCACCATAGTCACTCCCCAGAGGCTTCGCACATCTAACAAAATCATCTACCTAAACCATTTGTGATGATCCACTTTATTGGATAAAGATCCACTTTATCCAATTTTGTGCCAAACATTTGTGAACTACCAGTTAAACCTTTCCATCAGCAGGAGGTGAGCAACGATGTGATTTCGTACATAGTTGAATTTTGGGTAGACATGTATTATTTCCCCAGTATTTTACATACTGAAAATAATTAGAACGTCCAATTGTCAACTTCAAGAGTGCTTTGGGACACAGGGTCCCAGCTGCCCTAGAGGAAATGCCTGGACCCACATTCAAGGCATCTGGGGGATAAGAGAAGTGTCTTGGGCTCTAAAAGAAAGGAGGCCTGGGAAGAGGAGGAAGGAGAGGGGTGGGGGAGAAGCTGGGATTACAATTAGAATGGATCACATAGTCTCATCTTCAAAAGCAGGGCTAGAATGAAGCTGGGAGACACACAAAGGCCTGACTGAAGTACTGGGAGCCTGGGTTGGAGCCTCTTTTAAAGAGCTGCCCGCCAGCCCAGCCTCACCACCACCAGAGACAGCGCTCATGGCCGGGCTTACTCATCCTGTCTCCCCCCACTACAGAAGCACATGAGAAAAACCGATTGGCTAACCGAGCTCTTCTCCCCTGCCTATCTTAGCCTTTGGGGGAATAGACAGCCAGACAGCTTAGCTGGCTAGGAAGTATGTGGGGTAGAGAGAGCTTATGGCTCATGATATAACCACAGTGTAAACTTTTATGCACACAGCACACCCTGAGCAAAGTGCCACTCAGGAGTACATGGGTGACCGATGGCAGGTGTAGTGGAGGTCATCTGAGCTATGTATCAGTGAGGAAATCTCCAGCTCCTCCACTAGGGTGAGTCACTTAAGGATGGGCCCTGAGTCTCACTCATGTTTGTTGGCCCAGCTCCTGGGTAGTGGAGCTGGAGGGACAAGGCAGACATGCTGGGTGAGACACATGGAGGGCACTCCCCGGAGCAACAACAGCAGCAGCCTGCTGGGGAGATAAGCCTGGGAAAGATCAGGGACCCCAGGAGAGAGCAGAGCCCAAAGACTTCTCCGCTCCCCTCTTAGACCATGAAGCCCCCAAGCCCTGGGAATTCTGTGCCTGATATACAGAAGATGCTGAGGCTGACAGGTCTGGTGAAAGGAGGTGAAATTCAAACCTCTATGAAATGATAATGAGGTACCCGGGCTATGAGATCTCCCAGGCCTGGCTAGAAGACACTGGAGAGGGTCTGGCTGTGCCCCCCAGCAAGAATACCTAGGGGGATTTTCTAGGCCTTCCTGGTGTGGCCTCACCACAGCCACCAAGCAGATGCCACACCAAAGATGGCCTGGAACTGGGTTCAGTCTGCCCACTTTCCCCCTTGACTGCACTGTCTGGAGCAAGTGGGCAGTCAGCACCAGTGAGGCCATGTCAGAAATCCAGGTTTAGTTCTGGGACCACAACCTTTAGTGAGGTACTGGTCACCTAGAATGCACACAGTAGAAGGTCTTCACATATCCAGTAAGTGTTTGACAAAAGTATGTGCCAAGCTTGGTCAATGTTCACTTGTTAGCCATTTACTGCACAAGAATCATGCTCCTTGATTCAGTGATGAGGTTCTGGGGACAGCAATGCATGAAGCAAAGGGCTTGTTCTCCTTTGTGTGAACAGAGACAGGTAAATAAGTCTACAATCCATCAGGGGGTGATAGGCGCAATGAAATAAATAAATAAAATCAGGTAACAGAATAGAGGCAGAAGGACCGGTGAGGGAGGTATGTGAATTTTTTGGTTTGACGGTCAGCGAGGGTTGCTCCAATTTAATGTGGGTGCTGAGACCTGAACAATAAGGGGGTAAAAGAAACGGGTAGATGTCAAAAGGACACTCCAACCAGGGACTCTCAGACAGCCATATGCAAGTTACTCAAAGCACTGAGGACTCCACATGAGCGCAGAGCTCTTCCTCTGTCAGACTCTTGTCGGAAGGCTCGTTAGCACGAGTAGTTACAAGGCAAGGCTGAATGCAAAGCGCCACACCCGTGCTGAGGAGGACCCGAGAGTTTGGCATCTGGGGCACTAGAATGGAGGAAACAGGGACTGACCTGAAGATGGGCAGGATTTGGACTACGTAGTTGGAGGAGAATGCCAACTGGCAGAGGGAGCAGCAGAGGGCTAGAGGTGGAACTGTAGGGAGAGGTGAGAACGACAGTTGTTTTTTAAAATATTTGCAGAACTGTCACAAGGACATAGAATCTGAGGAAGCTGCGCTCTCACTAAAGTGTGTTCACATTTCAAGGAGGCAGATTTCTGCTTGATGCTTGATGTTGAGATTGAACTTCCTAAACAGCATGATGGAGCACATGGGAAGGGGGTGAGCTCCCCAGTTCTGGTAGTGTTTATGTGGGGGTCCACTTTTGGGGGGGGGACACAGCTAGACCACGTGACTTCTCAGGAAGCTTTCAATTCTGGTTTAGTGGGAGACTGAAAAACCCAGAGCCTCAGGTTCTCCTTCTCTCACCTAAGGACGTCAAATGTCTAGGTGCACACCACTTAGGTGTGTCTCATTTAGACCACAGACGTGTAGGTGACAGGGGCTTCCAGTCTCTCACAGGGGCAGCCCTGTCATCTCCAAGTATAAAGAGGAACACATGAGGCATCCTCCTTTTGCAAAGAAGAATTAGGGAGTCCTCTCCTGAATGGCAGCCCCATCTTTAGATACTAAGACCAACAGCCCTTTTTACTGACCTGCCAGATCCCAGCCATCCCCTACACTACACAGGCTACCACCAGGGTCTCCACTGTGCTGACCCTTTTTTCCCCCCTAACACCGCCTCCCAGATTGTCCAGATTATCCCAGGCAGTGCAGGACTCAGGCACCAAAGCGAAGAGGCCCAGGGCTGGAGAGGTGGTAAACATGTGGCATGGTGGCTGTATGCAGGGCCCCAAGTGACAAACAAGGAGCATGGGTGTGTTCTCTGTCTCAGAGCTCCCCCAGACCTTGTACTGAAAGCCAGCACCCCATCTCCAAGGGCACCTCAGGAGCTGCTTTTTGTTCTGGCCACAAAGCATGCTCACAGTTTCCTGCTAATTCTCCTCTTCCTTCAAGCCAGCCTCGTTATCGATGCTGTATTATGTGCAAGCAGGGGCCTTCCTTTATGGACAGTACTGAAGAGCTCTCAAAAAGCAATTTTCCCTGCCAAAGAATATACAGGGAAATGTGGCCTGCGTGCATATGGCCTGGTTCTAACTACGGTTCACTCCGAATGTCTCCCCCATCACACACAACATCCCTCCCCCACCTCCACAGCCCTGTGCCTTCAGGATTACACAGCTCCCTCCTTCCATGGGCACACAACACACAGATCCTTCTCTTCATTGCTATAGCTCCAGTGTGGAAGGAGACTGTGGCCGGGAAAGACTGAGGGCACAGCCCTGGCATGACACAGCAGGCCGCCTGACTTTTAGGCCACACCCCCCAGGGTATCTCAGGTGCCAGGAGAAAATGCGCCCAGCTCCAGCCCACACCCTTCCCACCTGGTGTTCAGGTGGTCCTGGTACCGCTTCACTTCTCCGCTGCGGGGGTGACCACTCTCTACGAGGCTGTTGGCAGCCAGGTTCACACCATCAATCTGAGACATCAAAGTCTTCATCTCCTGGTCCAGGATGTCAAACCTGGTGTGACCGAGAAAATGAGGATAAGTGAGGTGGCAGCAGGCCGGAGGCCAGCGGCCATTTAGGCTCCAGAACGAGCAGCTCTTGCTTTCGCCTTCCACCTCCTAAATGCACCTGGGCACATGAAAGGGGTGGTGGTGAAAAGAGAAAGATCTCAATATGGCCGATTAGCTGGTTCACACGTCCCACTTCAGTTTAGCATTTCCTAGACCAGGCGTGAAGAGAGTAGGCCTCTGGGGTCTACGGCCATGCCACCCTGAACACACCTGATCTCAGAAGCTAAGCAGGATCGGGCCTGGTTAGCACTTGGATGGGAGACCAACAGGCCTCTGGCTCAGTGGAGAGGCCCAGAGGAAGAATAGGTGAATGTTATTTTTGGAGGTGAGAAGGGGGTTTCAACTGTCATGAGAAACCCCACCGTAGCTCTGTTAGCCCAGCTGCTGCTCTTGGTCCCTGTAGCCACTGCCTGACACCTTGACCTGAAGGAACCCTCCCAGCAAGGTGCTCTGTTCCAGGTAGGAGAAGGAAGCTGCTGCAGAAGGGGCTGTGCAGGTATGACAGGTGATCTGGGTCCCTCCAGAATCAGTGGGCCACCATGGCACGCTCCAGGGAGTGGCTTCTCCTCTTCAGTACCCTGGACCTATGCTGGGGATCCTGGGATGCCACACAGACTGGGAGCAGCCTACTCATGCCAGAATGCTGAGGGGCTCTCACCCCCACAATGAAAGTTGCCTTGTAGATTGCTAGTTTGCAAACTGTTCTCTGCGGCTCCCTGAGGATTTGTGACTTAGGGGTGGTGAGAGAGAACTAGAGCTGGTGGGGTCCCAGCCCCCACCTCCTTCACTCACTTCAGCCCCAGTTTGCTCTGTGTGTCAGCAATAGACACAACTCATTTGAACGAAGTGTGTGTGGTTTAAGAGCAACTGCGTAGCTGATCTACAGAGGCCCCTTCCTGTCGATTTGTGGAAAATCCCTGGGGTAAAGTACCCCATGTCACAGAGCCCGATTAGAGCTTGTGACTTCCAATATCTGGCTTCCAATGTCTGCAATAGAGGGCATCCCAGGGCCTCTGGAAGAGACCCTGGTTGACCGAGACGCTGTCACCACGCTAGGCAGGTGTAGGGAGACGGCGCAGGGAGAGAGAAGGGCAGGGCCAGCTCTGACCTGTGCTGCACAACCTCGAGGTCCTCCAGCGTGTCTGGGATCTCCATCTGGGCCAGCCACTTCTCCTTCTCACCCATCCACAGCTCACAGGCATCTGTCTCCCCAAACACTGTGTACAGGTCCAGGGCGTCCTGCAACCTCTGCCGGCGCAGGTCTGCCTGGGCCACCACCTGCTGGTACAGCTCCCGGAGGGCCTGCAGCCTTTTGGTCACATCTGGGGAATCCCGGAACTCTTGGGGGAAGCCCTGGGCCTGAGTTTCCAGATGCTCCATCACCCCGCGGCTCTCCTCCAGCTCCTCCAGGAAGTCCTTGTGTTTCTTCCCCAGGGCTCGTGTGGCCCCTTCATCCTGCCCAACGTCTTCACCTGAGAGCAGCCGGTGGGCATCTTGCAGCCAGGCTTTCAAGTCGTCCGCATCACCCTGGAACTGGAAGAAGTTTTCAGCATCCTGGAGGTTCTTCTTGCGAAAGGCAGCCAGTTCCTTGAGCTGGTCCCACTGGGCAGACACCTCCTTTATTCGTGCCTCAATCTGTGGGTGTCCAAACTGCTTGCGGGCAACCATGCCCTCGGCTTCCTGGAAGATCTGCTCCAGGTGGGCATCTAGCCCTCGGAGCTCATCCTCAAAGGCCTTGTGCTTGCGCTGCAAGATAAGCACGCTGGTCAGGTCCTTGCCATAATCCAGTGAGGAGTAGATCTGCTCCTTCTCCTTGATCCAGCTTTCGGCCTCATCCATCTCCCAGAAGAACTTCCAGAGCCGCTTGGACTGCTCCAGCTGGGCCTTCCGCCCAGCTGCCATGTTGCTCAGTTCCCCAAAGCACTGCTCCAGGTGACTGACACGGTCCTGGATGACCTGGGGGTCACAAGGTTGGTATCCTGGGGGAATGGGGGGGACAAAAAAGGGTAAGAGCTTCAGATCAGTTGTAGGCTCAAACCATACAATCTCAATCTGCCATATCACTAGGGTTTGGGGGTCCTATAGGGGGTCCCAGTTGCTCAGAGTGCAGGCCAAGTTCTTTAAAATTAGTTAGCACTAAAACTTCAGGCATAAGGGAAGTCGAAAGATGGGCGAGCTCTTAGTAGAAAAGCACAATGTGAAATTATTCTCTGAAATACCCAGTCATACATTTCAAGATGATTGATTCTTCAAGGCCACATTCTCCCATTTAACACCTGAGGCTAGAAACCTAAATTGTCTCTACCATAACAGAGAACGAAAGAAGGATGATGCCTTCTTACTGGTGCTTATAAACACGTTCTCATTATAGCTGACCAAAGCAGTTGCCTGCTCCTTGGAGAGTTTTTCTATCCCTCAAGCCTCTCTCTGGCATCATTGGGCAAGGAAAGAGGCAGAATTCTAAAACTAGATTTATCTAAACTGGTTGGTGGAGTGCGAGCCAGTGGATGGGGCTCTGTTTGAAAGGCCTCAAGAGGGAGACAGTCTTGCTCTCACCTTTCCCCTCAGTGAACTGCAAGGTAGCTGCGGTAATGGCCTTCACTTTGTCCCCTTGGATGGCAATGTCAGCCTCCATCAACTTGTGCTTCTGGAGCAAGTCCTCGACTTCCAGTAAGTGCTTCCCAAAGTCAGCAGACAAGAGATGAGCCTGGTAACACAGGAAGGGCAGACATGGTAGAGGGGAGGGAGACCCCTCCCTGCAGGCACTGTGCCTGCCTCTGGGCCAGGGCGAGTCCAGGCTGCTTCTCAGCATGGAGGCAACTACAGAGCAGGCGCCCCACTGGGAGAGCCCATCAGGATCACTCCTGCACTCTGGAGCCCCACACTAGATCGCCTGCATCTGTCTGCGTTTAAGGCATGTTTTTGGAATGCTCCATGCCCAGTCTGGTGTGCGTCCTCATTTGGAAGCCACTGTGGTAGAGGGAGAGGAGAGTCAGGATTCAGACTTCTCGGATGCCCCTCTTCTAAGGGGAGTGGGAGGCTGGACACTTAACCGGAGTCAAATCATGATTACTCAGTGCCCAATTCTTCAGACTACTGGTTCATGTCTGCCTCTTTTAGGCCCTGCAGGTTGGCATCTGTGCTATTTCGAGCCCAGGATTTCTTGATTACTGGGGATACAGTGGACCTGGGCTGATACCTTGTCTGGAACAGAACAGGCCACACAGTTGCTAGGCAAAGGCAGCCAGACACTGCAGCCTCAGTTTCTCCATTCTGAATCAGCGATTGACTGAGAGGCGTCACCTGCAGGGCCGTCATGAGGCCTAGCCTGGGGGCTGGCCAGAGGGCAGGGTGGGGCATGGGTGGCCCCCGGGGCCCACCTTGATCTCGTCCATCCAGTCGATGCTGTGCAGCATGTCCTGGAAGAGCTTCTGTAGTGCCAGGGTGGTCTCCAGTCTCTGGCGCCGGGCCCTCAGCAGCTCCTGCAGGTAGCTCCACAGGCGCAAGATGTTGTCCTTGCGGGCGGTGATGCGCTTCTGGTCATGGTAGTTCTCCTTCTCCAGCTCCTGCGCCAGGTCCTCCAGGGCTCTCACCCGCTCCTCATAGGCTGCCGTGTCCGTCTCAATGGCTTCATGCTTCTTTTTGGCGGCCTCCACAGCTGCCAGGTCATACCCGAAGTTATCCTGTTCCACAGGGGAGAAACAGACAGCTTGGCCAGGCTTCCCTTGGCGAGTCCCCAAAGGCAGAGAAAAAGCAAGTCCCTTTAGAGCAACTGCTGGAAGGGAAAGCCGGTCCCCAAGCAGTCAGATCTGCCGTCTTTTCCAGCCAGTCTGATCTGAGCCAAGTTCTACTGAATAAATGTCTCACAAGATCCTCGCAAGCAGTTCAAGGTTTCACTGACTGTGCCATATGTGTGGGTAAGGCTATGTGCATGTTAGTGACACAGCCCTTTCGTGGCCTGCCTGTACCCACCGCCCTGCCCCAGTGGACCTGCCTGGTTCTGGGCAGGAAAGCCTGTGCTTCCTTGGAAGCCCTGAGCTGCAAACAGAAGGCTCAGCTCCCAGTGTTGAGGTACATACACCCTCGCCAGTGCTCTCAAGGCTTGCTTTCCCTTTTCTGGATGGAATTTAATTGGTTTCAAGCTCCAAGTGGGAAGAAACAGATGCTCTAGTGGAGAAATCAGCCCTGGGGTCAATTCTGAGCTAGTGAAATATGACATAGCCCTAGAGACCACACCTACAAGACCATTGTTTACTGTCAACTCAGACCCCAGCATTAGTTGTCACTGGTTCACATAAGACAACTTCCACGGGCATTTTAGGAATGTGAAGCTCTTTCCTAAAAGAGCCTTGACAAAACTCTGCAGCATTCCTTCCACAGATGAGAATCTTAAGCCACCCGATCTTGGGGGGCAGGCAGTGAGGTCTGGGGAGAGACCTCTCCTGCTGCAGCCAAGAGGCCAGCTTCCTCTCCCCGGTCCCCACCCCAACAGGTGTCCCCCACTACCTGGGCCACAAGGCGCTGATTTTCATTGAGCCACGTTTCTCTCATGGCAGCTTTTCGGTCAAAGCGCCGGGCCAATTGCTCCAGCTTCTCCTGGCGAATGAGCTCATTTCTCAGGGCTAGCTCCCGCCGATACTCTGCTTCTTCCAGGCTTTCCCAGGCCTGCATGGGGTACAGGGAGCGTTCTTGACACAAAAGAAACACCCAGGTCTGGGTTCTCTGTCTTGCCAACCTTGAGTGATTTCAAGAACCTGAGCCGAAGCCTCATGTTCTGAGGTGACGTGGTAGCAGATTAAAGATGAGCAGCAATCTTTTGGCTTTCCTATCTAGGCCAACCCGAGATTCGGGGAGCACTGGGTGTGCCCTCCCAATTTCCCCTAAACCTGACTCAGGTCCTTGGTCTAACAGAATGGTGTTTGTGGATACTCCAAAATGTCTTATTGACTGAACAGCTAGCTCGCCCCTATTAAAATTCCAGATGGTAAGTCTCCAAACCTCTACAATATCATAACACATTTACTTTTTTTTTTTTTTTAAATAAATGGTTACTATATGCCACATTCAAACTCAAGGATGGGCTATAAAACTAGCTCTGGGGCCTCTCTGGTGGCCTTGTGGTTAAATCTCAGCATTATCACCACAACAGCCAGGGAGTTAATCCACATGGCGCAGCAGACCTCTCCTGTCTCGTCTGTTGCTCCTCTTAGCAGGGTATTTCAGTAGATCCACCTGTTCTGCTCCCTACTCTGTCTCTGGGAATCCTCTCATCACCCCAGACCTCCGGCCTACACTCCAGCTCTTTTATGCAAAAATAAATAAAAACCTTTAATAGTAACTAAACTAGCTCTGAAAAATGGACTTGAGTGTCTGAAAAGGAGGCTGAATCGATGGATGGTGAATGGAATATGGCCTGTTAGAACTGGATTTAGACAGCACTCACCCCAATACAATACCAAGGAAAGGGGCTTAGTTTAACCCTGACAAGTGACCATTCGCTGTGCCCACATCAGGACTCCAACCCACTGCAAGGTACAATGGAAAACGCTGCTGTACCCGGTTGATGTCAGACACTAGCTTCCCATCGTGGGGCGTGTACACTTTCTGGTTGTTGGCTCTCATTCGGGACTGGATGGTAAAAAGTAGTACTTCTAGATTTCCTTTCTCCTGAAACCTGTTAAGAGCACAGAGGTAGGTAGATTAGTGTTGAGATCCACAGCCAAATTTCTGCTGAAGCCAATCTGAAACCACCAGAGAGGCAACTGGAAGCTTGGATAATGAAGCATATTTCCCTTAAACACAAAGAAAAAGTAAAGAGGATGGATAGGAGATGGACAGAACTACTTACCTGTTAAAATAGCTAACACACTTACTGAGTTCTGGCAAGGGCTGAGTCTTTATTATACAAGTCAGGGGAAACAAAACAGCTACCCCAGCATTTGCTAGTCTAATGTATGCTTCCACAGGGGAATGGCGAAGTGGGGTATTTTGCCAATTCCTGCAGATGGCAAGTTTTATCAATCCATACAGAGAAACTTCCCTGTTCTGTGTATGATGAAGATATCTGAGTAGTTTTATTGGGTGGGTCAATAAAACCTTAGAAGTAGCATTGTCCACGTAAGAACATCCTGCAGCTGAAAGCAACTATCTGATGAGTGGCTCTCCAGAGACGTTCTGGAGAGGGGAGGAAAGGCTGGGTTTTGAGAACTGGCCGGGGGAAAGGTGTGGAAGGCCAGGTCCAAGCTCCAGTTGACAAGGCACTTTCACATTTCTCAAGCTGCCAAGTATTTACCCACTTCTGCACCCCCTCACAGGACAGTGGGAGATCAGAAGAGAGCAAGGCCCCCACCTGGAAGCCAGCCTGGTGTACCTGGCTGCTCAAGGACACTTCAAGGGCCTTCACTGTGACCCCGAATACTGTCTCCACAGCCAGAGATATCACCCTGTGTAGTGGTTGGCAGAATCACAGGGGGTGCTATCTATAATGAATGTAGGACTTTAAAAGTGGGTTAGTGTCAGACCTGAAATCAGATACTTGTTTATAGTACACTCTAGACTCCGAGTCTCACCGTTCCCTGTTTGGGAGTCATGAATGAAAAATGTGGGAGGTGAGAAGGGGAGGAACAAGGCAGAGGGCACCACTGATGAGTTAGAAATCATTTCAGGGGAGCTGGCCCACTAAGGCCAGGTGAGCTAGAACATCCCCTGTGTGCTTTGCACGGTTGTATAATAATGTGTGTGTGCACAAGCGTGCGGGCCCTGCACACACATTACATGGAGCAGAGGTCCCGAGAGGCAAGCAAGGTGCTCTGCTGATGAGCAGAGAGGAGCGAGTAAGAAGGACGGACTTGAGGACTGACAGGCCTCACCCAGAGAGCTCTGAGGCTGAAATGCAGAGACTGTTACCAGAAAACTACCCCAAAGCTCTGTGCCTAGATGGAGAGGAACTTTCCAGCACAGGTTCTGTGAAGAGTCTCTGAAGTCTAAACCTCCTGCCCCCTTTAGGGACCAGGGAAAGTATTTTTCTTATTTCCTATGAGTCGGGGTTACTCATCAATGCCTGTTTCCTATAGACTGGTGGCTTGAGAATAGGAAGGCAAGGAGTGCATGAAGTAGGTGATGGATTGAAGCCCTCCGACCTTGAGGATGCACTTCACAAGGCCCAGTGCCTGGCTCTGCTTTTTGGCAATCGCTGTCCTGGCCACTGAGACCACTGCCCTCCCGAGCCATGGCCCTTACTTGGGTGGCTTCTCCACAGTGCGGTAGGTGCTGAAGGCCTGCAGTTGCTGCTGGACCCCAGCCAGTGAGTTGGCAAACTTGCGGCTGTTCAGGACGGTAATGGTCTGCTCGATCCAGGTGAGCAGATCCGAGGCCAGCCCGCTGTACTTTTCAATCATCTTCTCAGTCTCAATGGCATGGTCGATCACCTAGGGAATCTCTCATTAGTTTTCCTCAGAGATGGGCAATGATGCCAAAGAGGCCACCAATGGGACCCACGATCAAGGTGCCCTGAAATGGGACTCACCCTTCCCACAAGCCCTGGGGTGTTCTGTCCCTGAGCTCAAGACTGTTGTAAAGCAGAGGAATAGACTGGGAGTGGGAAAAGTTCCCTTTATATGCTCATTACAGCACAGAGAGCTGCCCTGCCTGGGCAGATTCTAGCCTATTAGCCCCCAGAGGGGTCAAGGTCTTGTCTATTTTCTAAAGTGTATTAGAAAAGGAGGGCTTCTGGGCACTCTCTTTGCTAAAAGCCAGGTGCATAAGAACCCATAGAGAAAGGACTCTGGCACAAGAGGCTGCACAATAGGGTTATTTCCTCATAGAAGTGGGAGCCTAAGAGGTCTGAAGATCACAATCTATCATGCCAATGAAGCCTATTTTGGTCATGAGCCATGGGTCATGACAGGTGGAAGACCTCAGAGCTGAGGCCTTGACTTCTTGCAGGACAGATCATCAACCTACTTTGGAATTCAGTTTGTGAACCATCAATTTGGCAATGGGTAGGGGATGATCTGCACCCCTAGCCATAGCTGGGGCTCAGACATGAGGCTTGAGGATGGGAAAAGGGTGTCTAGGGCCCTCCCTGGTGGCACAATGGGTTAAAGCACTGCACATGGCGCTATCTGCAGTCAGGGAGCTGACCCACATGGCGTGGCAGACCTCTCCTGACCTGCCCGCTGCTCCCCTCAGCAGTGTACTTCATTGATCTGCCTGTAATGCTCTCTACTCTCTGTCTCTGCTGAATTCTCTCTTCCCACCCCACACCTCTGGCCTGTACCCCAGTTCTATAAGCATACTAAATTTTTTTTTTTAAAGAGGGTATCTCGGGCCCTCCCAGGTGGCGCAGCGGGTTAACGCACTGCACTAAGAAGCTTAAGCCACTTCCCCATGAGTTCGATCCCCGCCTGCCCCGGAGGAGATCCACATGG